CCCCCAACGTATTGGGATTACAGGCATGAGTCACCGCGCCCAGCAATTTTTGTATTTTTAATAGCGACAGGTTTCGCCCTGTAGACCAGGTTGGTCTTGAACTCCTGACCTCAAGCGATCCACCCACCTTGGCCTCCCAAAATGCTGTGATTATAGGTGTGAGCCACCGGGCCCTACCGCCTTATTTAATCTTAATATAGACAGAGGAAAACTCACTCGTGGAGGAGCAACTTCCATTCCGGTGAACTGCTTCCGGGTCTGCAGGAAACTGCGCGCACACGGTGGAAACCAGGGATGGGCAGGTCCACCCAGCGAGATACAGAGTGTGAAGAGTGGAAGGGAGGGGGCGGGGGCAGAGCGGAGAGGCGGGACCTGTGCTTTCCTCTTCTGGCTCGTCTCTATTTTACTGGTTTAGGGGGAGACATTTACCAGTGAGGATGAAGCAACTCGGCAGGATCTCCCTGGGACAGAGCAAACTGTTGGTGATTGGATCCAGGAAAATTCCTGCTATCGAAATTAAGCTCAGCAATTTAATTTAAAAGCCCTAGAATTCTCTGTGACAGGAATGTAAACTGGAATGTGAAAGGGAAACTGCGTGGGTGATGGTGTAATTCCATGCTGATGCCCCACACAACAAAATAGAAATCGTTTCATTTTCTAGTCTCCATTCACTCCAGAAAGAGTCAACCCTGTACTCGTTTCCGGAGACTTTCACAGGGACAATACCTGGGGTGCAAGGCGTGGGAAGCTAGGTCTGTCATCCAGATTCATCTCGCCTCTGCCCAAAAGAGCCAGTGCATTGAAAATAGCGGGGTTTTGCAGCAAAGAAAGAGTTTAATAATCCCAGTGTTAACCAGGTCAAACAAGTGGGAGACGGGGAAGTTAATTCTCAAATCCGTTTCCCAAAAACCTGGAGACTAGGGTTTTTGAGGATAATATGGGGAAGTAATTGGTGCGGCTGATTGGTTGGAGAGGAAATCTTAGGAGTGTGCAAAACAGTCTTCCTGGGCTGAGTCAGTTTCTGGTTAGGGATCACAGAATTTGTTGGTGCCAATTCTTGGGGGCCAGTGAAGAGGAGGTCCAGGTGGCCTGAGCTGCTCTGCCCAATTGTAAATGTCTGAAAAATACTTCAAAGATCAATCTTAAATTTTGACAATAATGATGTCTATAGGAGCAAATGGGGAAATTACAAATCATCTGATCTCCAGGATGATTGGTTATTGTTTATGCCTACATTTTAGCAGAATTCAGGTACCTTCCATAATTCTAAACTCGTTGCCTTTTTTTTTTTTTTGAGGTAGAGTTTCCCTCTTGTGATCCAGGCTGGAGTGCACTGGCACGATCTCGGCTCACTGCAACCTCTGCCTCCTGGGTTCAAGGGATTCTCCTGCCTTAGCCTCCCAAGTAGCTGGGATTACAGGCCCGGTTAAATTTGTATTTTTAGTAGACAGGGTTTCTCCATGTTGGCCAGGCTGGTCACAAACTCCCAACCTCAGGTGATTGGCCTGCCTCCGCCTCCCAAAGTGCTGGGATTACAGGCGTGAGTCACAGTGCCCTGCTCTTTTTTTTTTTTTTTTTTTTTTCTGAGACGGAGTTTGCCTCATTTGCCCAGGCTGGAGTATACTGTCGTGATCTCGGATCACTGCAACCTTTGCCTCCCAGGTTCAAGTGATTCTCCTGCCTCAGCCTCATGAGTAGCTGGGATTACAGGCACCCGCCACCATGCCCAGCTAATTTTTTGGATTTTTAGTAGAGACAAGGTTTCACCATGTTAGCCAGGCTGGTCTCAAACTCCTGACCTCAAATGATCCTCCCACCTCAGCCTCCCAAAACACTAGAACTATAGGCATGAGCCACCACGCCTGACCCTTGTGCCTTTCATTAGTCTTACAAAGTTGGTTTCAGTCACCCAAGAAGGTCACTTTGGGGAGGGTCAGCTATCATCCTTGCTTGAAAGTCATAACTATAAACTAAATTCCTCTCATATGTAGCTGGACCAATGTCCGGGAATGAAGAAACACAGCTTGCGTGGTTAGATGCAACAATTACGTTAGATTTCTCTAATGATTTTGCAAAGGCGGTTTCAGGTTCAATGATAAGTTAGATCACCAATTTATACTCTAAATAACAAGCAATAACTTTTGAAAAGTAGATGTTACATAGCTTTTCCTTACACGTTATTTATTTATTATTATCTTTTTTTGAGATGGAATCTCACTCTGTTACCCAGGCTGGAGTGCAATGGTACGATCTCAGCTCACCACAACTTCTGCAATCTATTCTCCTGCCTCAGCCCCCCGAGTAGCTGGGGCTACAGGTGCGCACCCCCACATCCAGCTAATTTTTGTGTTTTTAGTAGAGACAGGGTTTCTCCATGTTGGTCAGGTTGGTCTCGTACTGCTGACGTCATGATCCACCCACCTTGGCCTCCCAAAGTGCTGGGATTACAGGCGTGAGCCACCGCGCCCAGCCTATTTATTTGAAACAGCGTCTGGGACGGGCAAGGTGGCTCACACCTATAATGCCAACACTTTTGGGAGGCCAAGGTGGGCGGATCACCCGAGGTCAGGAGTTCGAGATCAGCCTGGCCAACTTGGTGAAACCCTGTCTCTACTAAAAATACAAAAATTAGCTGGGTGTGGTGGCGGGTGCCTGTAAGCTCAGCTACTCAGGAGGCTGAGGCAGGAGAATCACTTGAACCTGGGAGGTAGAGGATGCAGTGAGCCCAGATGGTGCCTATGAACTCTAGCTCGGGCAACAAGAGCAAAACTCCGTCTCAGAAAAAAAAAAAAAAAAGGCCGGGCGCGGTGGCTCACGCCTGTAATCCCAGCACTTTGGGAGGCCAAGGCGGGTGGATCACGAGGTCAGGAGATCGAGACCATCCTGGCTAACACAGTGAAACCTCATCTCTACTAAATATACAAAAAAAAAAGAAAAAAAGGAAATTAATTTTGCAATATTTCTAAAAATATGTGGCAGACAGGTTATTTTCTTTCATATGAATGCTGAAGAAAACACAACTCAATTATCGAATTTTAAATAGCCTCATTTCTACTGGCAATAATTCTATGACAATCCCCAACTTAGCATTTAATAGGAAGTATGTTTTTCTCACACATCATTATAATTTGGTATTGTGAAATATTGCTAAGTAGCTACATTCCCAAAAATGAACTTTGAATCTGAACCTCTATGACCTCATGCAAAAATATGATTAATTGTGAAGCTTCTTTTGAACCTCAGAACAGTAAATAAGAAGCTGATTATAACTGAAAATCACAATTTCATTTGGTATATTGGAAATTTTCTTGCTTCCAAAAATATCCAGGAAGCAACATGGTCATGCTGATTCACAAAAAATTTAAAAGAATATTTCCTGAATCACAGAAAGATTTTGACATATCTTCTGTAACATCATTGTATGAGAAATGCAAATTAATAAGGTTTTTTTTTTTTGAGACAGAGTCTCACTGTTGTCCAGGCTTCAGTGCAGTGGCATGATCTTGGCTCACTGCAACCTCCACCTCCCCAGTTCAAGCAATTCTCCCTGCCTCAGCCTCCCAAGTAGCTGGGATTACAGATGCCTGCCACCATGCCCGACTAACTTTTTTATTTTTTATTTTTAGTAAAGATGGGTTTTTGCCATGTTGGCCAGGCTTGTCTCAAACTCCTGACCTCAGGTGATCCACCTGCCTCAGCCTCCCTAAGTGCTGAGATTACAGGCACGAGCCACCACGCCTGGCCTAGAATTTTTTCAAAAAAGTTTAAGTAGAAACTACTTTTTGTTTTGTTTTGTTTGAGACAGGGTCTCACTCTCTTTCAGGCTCCAAGGCAGTGGCAAGATCTCAGCTCACTGTAGGCTTAACCTCACAGGTTCCATTGATCCTCCCAACAGAGCCTCCTGAGAGCTGGGACTACAGACACATGCCATGGCATCCAGCTACGTTTTTGTATTCTTGGTAGAGATGTGGTTTCACCATGTTACCCAGGCTGGTCTTAAACTCTGAGTTTTGGCAAACCGCCACCCTCAGCCTCCCATTGCACTGAGATTACAGCTGTGAGATACTGTGCCTGGCATTCACAAGAAATTTAAAGGATATTTTCTTAATCACAGAAAGATTTTGACATATACTTCCGAAAATCAAGAGTATCAGAGACAGGTCTCAACCAAGGTCGAAAGTGTATGTTGCCAAGGCCTAGGACACACCCATGACACAGACTTCTGACAACATATGCCCAAGGTGGTTTGGGTACAGTTTGGTTTTATACATTTTAGGGAGACATAAGACATCAATCAATATATGTAAGATGTACATTGGTTCACCCAGAAAGGTGGGACAACTTGAAGCAGGGAGGGGACTTCCAGGTCATAGATAAAAGACAAATGGTTGCACTGAGATTCTGATTAGCCTTTCAATGGACATGTGATTTACAGGAATAGTCACTTACGCTTTAGTCTGACTTAGTGAAATAACAGGACAAAGAAAGCAATCAGATATGTATTTGTCTCATGTGAGCAGACGTTTGACTGTGCGTTCCCTCTGTCCTTTGTCCACAAGGAATTTCCTTGTGGGGAGATAGTGAGGGAGGTATGTAGCTTCTTATCTTTGTAGCTATATTTTATTTTATTTATTTAATTTATTTGTTTGAGACACAGTTTCACTCTGATGCCCAGGCTGGAGTGCAATGGCGTGATCTCTGCTCATTGAAGCCTCTGCCTCCCAGGTTCAAGCAATTCTGCCTCAGCCTCCCGAGTAGCTGGGAATACAGGCACACACCACCTGGCCCCGCTACTTTTTTGTATCTTTAGTAGAGATGGGGTTTCACCATGTTGGTCAGGCTGGTCTCAAACTCCTGACATCAGGTGATCTGCCTGCCTCGGCCTCCCAAAGTGCTGGGATTACAGGTGTGAGCCACTGTGACCAGCCTCTTTTTCATTTTAAAATCTTTTGGAGAAAGCATTCTAGAAGAAAATGAGTCTCTGGTCCCCGGTTTTTTTGTTGTTGTTGTTCTTGTTTTTGTTTTTTAATCTCTTGTGGCCAGGGTGATTCATTCCTAGATGGGTAGGTCCCAAGTTATTAGGAAAGCTCATTTTTAGCAGGTTGTAAAGTCTCACATTCTACAAGGAGAAAACAGGGGAAGGAAGGTAAAAAAACAACAAACAAAAAACAATTCTGGAAAATTGATATAGGTGATATTACTCTGAAGTCCATACATCAATAGGCAGGTGTGAAAGTCGCTATATATGTAAACCAGTGGTTGTTATTTTCTTCTAAAGTTTCAGTTGTCTAGTTTCAGTCTGCAGGGACTTAAGAAAGCACAGCTTAGCTTTCAGTGATTTCTAATCAAGAAAAGTGGGAGAAGAAAAGAAAGAAGAAAATTGGAAACATTATTTTGCAGACTTGTAGCTGGAAAAATATTATTAATAGAGTTTAGTCCAGGCAAGGTGCAGTGGCTCACGCCTGTAATCCCAGCACTTTGGGAGGCCAAGGTGGGCAGATCACCTGAGGTCGGGAGTTCGAGACCAGCCTGACCAACATGGAGAAACCCCATCTCTACTAAAAATACAAAATTAGTGGGCGTGGTGGTGCACGCCTGTAATCCCAACTACTCGGGAGGCTGAGGCAGGAGAATCGCTCCACCTGGGATGTGGAGGGTGCGGTGAGCCAAGATCATGCCATTGCACTCCAGCCTGGGCAACAAGAGTGAAAATCCATCTCAAAAAAAAAAAAAAAAAAGAAAAAGAAAAAGGAAAAAAGAATTTAGTCCAAACTGTAGAAAATAGTAAGAATTGAAAAACATAGGCAAGACTAGAATCTAATAACATGTGAACGATAGTTTATTTTGAAACAAACTTCTCTCTCTTCAGTTCCTGTTTTCACTAAAGCCAAATCATAGGATAAATTCATTTGAAAAATAAGTTTTAGTCTTATTATACTTAGCCAGAGTATTTGCATACAGTCAGCAAAAACAATTATTTGCTGTATAGGCTCCTCTTTTTCTTTTTCTAAAAGAACTTTGCTGGAACTTTATTCCATAAGGAATCTCAAATTTGACTTCAATGCCTTAAGGCATCCTGTGCCTGCAAGTACCTGTATTAACTTGGTAAATTCCTAACCTTGAGATCCCAAGAAAACCTGGGTCTTTTGGGTCTGTCAGAAGGTGACACTTTTTTTTTTTTTTTTGAGACGGTGTCCCGCTCTGTCCCCCAGGCTAGAGTGCAATGGCACAATCTTGGCTCACTGCAACCTCCGCCTACTGGGTTCAAGCGATTATCCTGGCTCAGCCTCCTAAATAGGTGGAATTACAGGCGCTAGCTACCATGCCCGGCTAATTTTTTCACTTTTAATAAAGACGAGGTTCCACCACGTTTGTCAGGCTAATCTTGAACTCCCGACCTCCCGTGATCCTCCCGCCTCAGCCTCCCAAAGTGCTGGGATTACAGGCGTGAGCCATCACGCCCGGCAAAGTGACACTCTTTACTTACCACAGGTCAGGAACCTGTACTGGAACTGAGTAGACAAGGTATGAAGCTAGCATGTGCAAGGGGCTTTTTTTTGGCTCCATATATCAACTTTGATTCCTTAAACGAGTCTGTATGTGATATGCCATTCCAGTCAAAACCCTGGTAGAATAACCAGTGTCTCCAACTGTGCCCTGTTTAAAATAAATAAATAAATAAATAAATAAATAAATTTAAAAAAACACCAAAAACAGATTCTTATTACTCTTATGCAAATACCTATACTGCATTAAGGTAAGAATACTCAACACTAGGCCAGGCCCAGTGACTCACACCTGTAATCCTAGCACTTTGGGAGGCTGAGGTGGGTGGATCACCTGAGGTCCAGAGTTCGAGACCAGCCTGACCGACATGGAGAAATCCCATCTCTACTAAAAATACAAAAATAAGCCGAGCATGGTGGCACATGCCTGTAATCCCAGCTACTCAGGAGGCTGAGGCAGGAGAATCGCTTGAACCCCGAAGGAGGAGGTTGCAGTGAGCCGAGATCGCACCATTGCACTGGGCAACAAGAGCAAAACTCCATCTCAAAAAAAAAAAAAAAAAAAAAAAAGCCAGGCACGGTGGCTCACGCCTGTAATCCCAGCACTTTGGGAGGCCGAGTCGGGCAGATCACGAGGTCAGGAGATCGAGACCGTCCTGGCTGAAACGGTGAAACCCCATCTCTACTAAAAATACAAAAACTTAGCTGGGCGTGGTGGCGGGCGCCTGTAGTCCCAGCTACTCGGGAGGGTGAGGCAGGAGAATGGCATGAACCCAGGAGGTGGAGCTTGCAGTGAGCCGAGATCACGCCACTGCACTCCAGCCTGGGCAACAGAGCGAGACTCCGTCTCAAGAGAAAAAAAAAAAAAAAGAATACTCAACACTAGTTTCCAAATTTGGGAGAAATCAGGTAGAGAGAAATATGCCCCCAATATTGTTCATAGGAGTATACTTTACTCAATTGTTAAAAGTTGTAAATTACTCAAAAGAAGTTTTCTTGGCTCTGAAAAACAAAGGATAAACAACATTTTAAGCAAAAAGTCATAAAAGGATGATTTCAGTCTTCTATTAGTTCAGCTTATGAGTTAACTCCTATTTGACTGAAATTGATGAATATTTCAGCTCTCCATGGAAGTCTTGGAAGTTTTTTCTGTAATGTCATAACCTCCAAAACTTGCATTCAAGATAACTTGCCATAGTCCTATGTTCCTATGTTGATTATGAAATCACTTTTTTTTTTTTTTTTTTTTTGAGACTGATTCTCACTCTGTAGCCCAGGCTGGAGTACAGTGGTATAATCTCAGCTCACTGCAACCTCCGCCTCCTGCGCTAAAGTAATTCTCATGCCTCACCCTCCCAAGTAGCTGGGATTACAGGCACCTGCCACCACACTAGGCTAATTTGTGTGTGTGTGTGTGTGTGTGTGTGTGTGTGTGTGTATTTTTAGTAGATACAGGATTTCACCATGTTGGCCAGGCTGGTCTTGAACTCCTGACCTCAAGTGATCCACCCGGCTCAGCCTCCCAAAGTGCTGGGATTATAGGCATGAGCCACCGCACCCCAGCCTAATAACTAATTTATTTTATTTTATCTTATTATTTTTATTATTTTTGAGATGGAGTTTCGCTCTTGTTGCTCAGGCTGGAGTGCAATGGTGTAATCTCAGCTCGCCCCAACCTCTGCCTACCAGGTTCAAGTGATTCTCCTGCCTCAGCCTCCTAAGGGATTACAGGCGTGCGCCACCACACCCGGCTAATTTCGTATTTTTAGTAGAGACGGAGTTTCTCCATGTTGGTCAGGTTGGTCTTGAACTCCCAACCTCAAATGATCCGCCTGCCTTGGCCTCCCAAAGTGCTGGGATTACAGGCGTGAGCCACCGCGCCCGGTCCCCTGGCCTTCTTTTACCTTGTTTTATACATTGCCTTTAAATAAACTTTGAGCCGGGCGCGGTGGCTCAAGCCTGTAATCCCAGCACTTTGGGAGGCCGAGACGGGCGGATCACGAGGTCAGGAGATCGAGACCATCCTGCCTAACACGGTGAAACCCCGTCTCTACTAAAAATACAAAAAACTAGCCGGGCGCGGTGGCAGGCGCCTGTAGTTCCAGCTACTCCGGAGGCTGAGGCAGGAGAATGGTGTGAACCCGGGAGGTGGAGCTTGCAGTGAGCTGAGATCCGGCCACTGCACTCCAGCCTGGGCGACAGAGCAAGACTCCGTCTCAAAAAAAATAAATAAATAAAATAAAATAAAATAAATAAATAAACTTTGAATTAGACAAAAAATATTTACCTTTCAGGAAGAACACAGTTTCTTTTAGAAAGAATGTTTTTCTTGTATATATATAATATATAAGTATATATTATATAAGTATATTATATATATTATATATAGTATATAAGTATTATATATTATATTTATATATTACATTATTATTATATTATAATATATAATATATATTTATAAATATATAATATATAAATATTATTAATAAATATTTATAAATATATATTTATTAATTGGAACATAATTAATAAATATCTATTATTTGATATGACTTTAAATTCTAAATTATGACAGGTGTGTCTATAAGTATTTATTTTATTACATTTTCCTTGAAGGGCCTTGGAGAAAAAGGGAAGCCTAAGGTTTGATTAAGTCAAGTCAACAAGCATTGTTTTCATTGAGTGAGGATAAACAATTGAGTAAGCCTTGATGAGACAAACGGTGGGAAATTGGAGCTTTTTCCTATGTAAGCAAAGAGGCTATCCTTAGACTTGAAATACTCTGGGGAAAGTGTGATTATTTGAAGTAAGCTCTTGGGTTGGGCAGGGGAGTGGTTTCTGGTAGATTTTTTTGTTTTTGTTTTGTGCCCCAAGGCACAGTATGAAGAGGTCTCGAGAACATGTGACCTTCTGGTGGGTCCTTCAACCTTTGCTATTTACTAGTTTTATAGTGCTGTGGGAAACTGTTTTTTTTTTTGAGATAGAGTTTCACTCTTGTTGCCCAGGCTGGAGTGCAATGGCACGATCTCAGCTCACTGCAACTTCTGCCTCCTGGGTTCAAGCAATTCTCCTGCCTCAGCCTCCTAAGTAGCTGGGATTACAGGTGTGTGGCACCACACCCCACTAATTTTTTATTTTTAGTAGAGACAGGGTTACACCATGTTGGTCAGGCTGGTCTCAAACTCCTGACCTCAAGTGATCCACCCGCCTTGGCCTCCCAAAGTGCTGGGATTACAGGTGTGAGCCACTGCACCCAGCCTAGATATTATTTTAAAAGTCAATGTGTCCACAAACCAGCTGAAAGTGTTGGAGTACACAGGTAGCCAGGCATGAGCAGGCAAGAGCGCCCCTGGGAAAGGAGTGTTTAGAAACACAGCCCACTGACAGTCTCCTTGAATATGCTGCCCACTGGCAGTAAGCAAAAAAAAACAGCAGTGGACCATGTCTGTATCCCCTGCACCTGGCCTTGTGGCCCAGAAGCGGACTTATCAGGCCCTAGACAGATATAACGAAGGTAGGGAATTTTCCCCAGTAATGTGCATGTGTACTCCTCTAATAATTTTCCCTAGAATACAGCCTTTGATGATTATAATACTAAAAAACAGGCCAGGCACGGTCACTCATGCCTGTAATCCTAGCACTCACCTGAGGTCAGGAGTTTGAGACTAGCCTGGCCAACATGGTGAAACCTCATCTCTACTAAAAACATAAAAATTAAGCCAGGCATGGTGGTGTGCACCCATAATCCCAGCTACTCTGGAGGCTGAGGCAGGAGAATCACTTGAACTCAGGGGGTGGAGGTTGCAGTGAAGAGAGATCATGCCATTTCACTCCAGCCTGGTAGAAACAGCGAAACTCTGTCTCAAAAAGTAATACATACACACATACATACATACATACATAAAAATAAGACTGGACATGGTGGCTCACGCCTGTAATCCCAGCACTTCGGGAGGCCGAGGCAGGTGAATCACCTGAAGTCAGGAGTTTGAGACTAGCCTGGCCAACATGATGAAACCACATCTCTACTAAAAATACAAAAATTAAGCCGGGTGTGATGGCTTGCAGTTACCCATAATCCCAGCTACTCTGGAGGCTGAGGCAGGAGAATCACTTGAACCCAGGGGGCAGAGGTTGCAGTGAGCCAAGATCACGCCACTTCACTGCAGCCTGGTAGAAACAGTGAAACTCTGTCACAAAAAATAAAAATAAATAAATAAATACATACATACATACATAAAAATAAGACTGGACGTGGTGGCTCATGCCTGTAATCCCAGCACTTTGGAAGGCTGAGGCAGGCGGACCACTTGAGATCTGGAGTTCCAGACCAGTCTAGCTAACAAAAATTAGCTGGGCGTGGTGGCAGGTTCCTGTAGTCCCAGCTGCTCTGGAGGCTGAGGCAGGAGAATCCTTTGAACCCAGGAGGCAGAGGTTGCAGTGAGCTGAGATCACGTCACTGCACCCTGGGTGACAAGAGTGAGACACAGACTCAAAATAAATAAATAAATAAAAATTTAAAAACTTATCTCCTTTTCCTCCAATATTATCCTAGGAAACAAAAAAAACCACACACCCCTGAATGGAGACTTGGGGTGCTCATGAGACGTGTGACGTGTGTGCCAGCATGGAGAGTCACAGCACATTCCTGCCCGGAGGACTTCTGAGAACATGCTTATTAGAAATATCCCTGCACAGCCCCTTCATGAATAATCATGTCAGAGTCTCATAAAAACGCTCTGCCCAGGATGAGCGGGGACAGACTTCTTTTCAGGAGCTCACCCTGTTTCTTCATTCAGGGCATCTCTTCTTTCTAAGCTCCTGTCTCTTTAAATAAAGGGCACTTACCTTTTAACGCTCTCTGTGTGTCTTCACTGAATTCAAGAAGACCGAGACCCAGAGGACTTCCACCCCACTCCTGGTAACATCTGGTGTTTTCCACTGGTGGCCTGTGAACTGTTCTTCTAGGTAAGTGCCCAAAAGCTGGTGCCAGATTCTCTGGTTGACGACCTCTGCTTCTTTCTGCACTGAAGAACCTCCTGCCCTAATGCAGTTCTTGCAGCTTTAAGGGGAGGGGTTTCTCCTCTCAGGCTCTGTCCACTAACAACTGCCCCGTACCATTTCCCTTCAGCCACTGTCACTCTGCTCCCTCTGGCTGATTTCTCAGCTTACCCTGGGGGTGATAAGCAGAGGAGGGAGGACTTTAAACTCCACACTGAGTAGATCTGAGACACGGTGACCCTCCCTGCAGGAGGCTTGTGAAAGGCAGGGAATATGCCCTAACTGTGCAATGACTG